GAGAAGCAGATTTTAAATGAATAATGACAAGGGTGATATGGAAACATGTCACAGGAGAACTTGGGGAGGAGGTGAGGAAAAATATCCTAAAAGGAGAAATGTTTGAACCTAACACAAGACCCCTGACAAGGGGTCAGGCTGTGCAGTAGGAGTGGGGAGGAGACTTGAGACAACATTCTAGATGCACAATCCGTCAGGCAGTACAGAGCCTGTTGTGTTCCAGGAGCTGAGAAAGGCAGGGAGAGCTAAAGTAGAGAAAACAAAGTGCGGAGTGGATGAGCCTGGTGGCGAGGAAGGCAGGGCCCTGAAGGTCCTGGCCAACTTTGGGCCTTGTTCTAAGGCCCTTGGGAAGCCACTGAATGCGAGTCCTAAGAAGGAGAGTGACATGATTTCATTTGTGATTTAGGCAAAACACAGCTCCTGAATTAAGCATGCAGTTTAGGATGGGCAGCAATGAATGTAGGGTCCACATATATATAGGAGCTTGAGAAAGTTCAGGACTCAGATGATGGTATTGGGGCTTGAAGGCGATTGTGGAATTGGAGAAGTTGGAATGTTTGAGATGCATGTAGGAGGCAGAATGAGAGACTTTGGTGATTGATATTTTCTCTCTACCACGTGATATAGAGCAGGGGTTGGCAAACTGTGGCCCATGGGCCACATCTGTGGGCCAGTCTGACCCAATGCTGATTTCTATAAATAAAGTTTTATTGGAACACGTGTGTTCTCTATGGCTGTTTTTGTGCTACAATCACAGAGTTAAGTAGTTGCTATAGAGGCCATATATGGCCCACAGATCTTAAGGTATTTAGTGTCTGACTGTTTACAGGAAAAGTTTGCCAACCTCTAGTGTATAAAGTACTTAGTTGAGTGCTGCGCTGGTGGCAGGGTTTGGAGTCCTGAAAAAGTGGACACAGTTCTGTAGTTGGAGAGTTTCTGTTGTAGTTGGAGAGAGAGAGGCAAAATCACCTCAACAGATAAATATAAAAATCACAACCTGATAAGGGCAGTGGGGGAAAAGTAGAGGCTGTTAGAGGTATTTTGAGGGATTATAGAGGAGATGTGATCCTTTTCTTAGTCAGAGGAGCCGGTAGGAATGGTCAGGGGCTGTGGTCTGAAAGGTGGCTCGGGGCCCAGTATGTTGCTTGTTGAGATAAATTCCGTGTCAGGGTTTTTCGCTTGGCCTCCCTGCTGGTCCACAAAAGTGGAATTACCACAAAAGTGGAATACCCTGCTCGGTGCTCTGCCTCCACCCTCCCCCTCGCCTTCACCCCGGTCTCTCTTCTGTTGCAGGGAGGGCGCCTCCTGAGACCTTAAACCCTGGCGCTGGTGTCATGGTGAGGGGGTTGGGGGAGCTGGGATGGTTGTGGGGGAATAATTACATCCTCTGGTTCCTGTCCCCTCTCTCCCTGTCCCCCAGCTGAGGAAGAAGGGGAGGGGACTTGTGGGGCATCTTCAGCCCTGCCCCAGGGGACCTGGAGACCTCTTTCTGTGAGGGACCTCCAGAGGGAAGCAGCTTGGGAGGAGGTCCCCACAGCGGCCGCGGGCTCTGTGCCCAGTTCCCGAGTCTGACTGCACAGCTCCTCCAGGGCCATCCCCGCCGCCCCACGTGAGGCCTACCAGAAAACCAGGTGGCTGTATAAATTTAAATGAAAATTAATTAAAATCCAGTAAAATCAAAAACTCCGTTTATCAGTTGCCAGAGCCACATTTCTCAAGTGCTCAGTAGCCACCTGTGCTGCTGGCTGCCTTTTTGGGAAGTGCAGACCCAGAACGTTCCATCATCACAGAGAGCTTTACTGGGCATTGCTGCGGCAGAGAATTCTGAAATTAAAATGCCATAAAGGTTCTCACATGCAGTGGAAGTCCTGTTTTAACAGGTGTAGGAGATGGCTGAATGCTTATGAGTCTGGGGAGGGGTCCTGGGCACATCATAAAAATTAAGAGGTCAAGCCCAAACTTGTGATGCCTTAAAGGAGGAGTTTAGGAAAAACTCTCTCAAGCTGAGAAGTACAGGCTGTGCCATCACTGGTCAGTGAAGTGACAGAGAGAGCCAAAGCTTATCCTTTCAGATTTGTCCAAATATGAAAAGAAAGTAAATATTTTTGGCTTGGTGGGGCGTGTGATCTCTGTTGCAGCAACTACTCACTTCTGCTGGTCTAGCACAGAAACAGCCGTAGAAATGGGTAAACAAATGGACGTGGCTGTGCGCCAATAAAACTTTATTAATGAGAGCAGGTGGCGGCGGGTTTGCCTAGCCCTGGTGTGGAGAGAGCTCCCTGTCGGAAGGTTCTTGCGCTGGGTCTCCGTTTCCCAGCGATGACCAGATGTCCTGCAGAGTGGTGGGGTGGTCCCTGCTGAGCCGGCATGTGTGTGCTGTCTTAGGAATCAGTCACCGTGGAGGATGTGGCGGTGGGCCTCAGCCAGGAGTGGGCGTTGCTGGACGGTGCGCGGCGGCACCTGTGCGGACACCTGACCCTGGACAGCTGCCAGGCCCTGGCCTCCTGGGGTAAGGCTGGCACCTCCCCCGTCCTTCCGTGTGCAGGCGCCGAACGCTTCTTAAGTGAGCACAGAGGTGCGGCGTGGGCTTCGTGGGGTTTGCCGTGTGCTGGCTTCCATAGGCAACAGGGCTCCCTCCACTGCGTTGACTTTGTTCTCTCTGTGGTCAGGGCCTGCTGGTCCTGGGCTTCAGGGCTGCGGGAGCCTCAGCCCCACGGGGCAGACAGGGGGTGTCTGTGGTCTGGGCCCATAGGAAAGAGCACCCCTGAGTTCCGTAGAAATGGGGCTGTGCTTGCTCAGCGCCCCAAGCTGAAGGCCCCGTGGAAGCGGCAGGCCTGGGCGGGTGTTTGTTTTCCTCCGCAAGCCCGCCACGCTCAGCACGCGTGTCTTCTTCCGGAGCAGGGCCTGCGCCGTGCAGACCCAGTCTGGGCTCCCGGGTGGGGCCAGGAGAGCTGAGGGCCGCAGCACGAGGCATTCTCCGCGCCGCGGGTGTGGGTGAGTACCGGGGTGGGGGGCGGATCTTGTGACCCATCTGGATGGGGGGGGTGCACTGGGAAGTGTCAGGCTGAGAGCGTTTTAAAGGCCCCTTATTCTGCAGGGAATTAAAGGCTCTTTGGGGTGAGGTTTCTCAAATAAGTTCCTTTAGCTTTTCTTCTGTTTTCACATTCTAGCTCTCCTCTCATACTTATCTTTGGTCTCAGAAAAAGATCTGTTCCAATTTCTCTTTTTTTAAAAAAATTGAGATATTCACATATCATAAAATTCACCCTTTTAAAGTGTGCAATTCAGTGGTTTTTAGTATATTCACAAAGTTGTGCAAGCGATACACTCCAGAACATTTCCATCACCTCAGAAAGAAACCTGGTCCCCATGAGCGTCCCTCCCCGTCCCCTCCCCCCCCCAGCCTCTGACCACCACTGATCTAATTTCTGTTTCTCTGGGTTTGCCTGTTCTGGAGATTTCATATCAGGGGACTCATACAGCATGAGACCTTTGGTGTCTGTCTTCTTTCACTCAGTAAGATGTTTTTGAGGTTCGTCCATGCGTGAATCAGTGCTTCAGTCCTTTTTAAGGCTGAATAATATTCCGCTGTATGGATGGACCACATTTTATTTATCATTCATCAGTTGATGGACACTTGGGTTGTTTCCACTTTTTGGCTGTTATAAATCATGCTGTTGTGAACATCCCTGTATAAGATTTCGTGTGGACATGTTTCTAGTCCTCTTGGGTTTATTTTTAGGAGTGGAGTTGCTAGGTCACATGGTAACTCTATGTTTAACTTTTTGAGGAACCGCCAGACTGCTTTCTAAAACCATCTTACGTTCCCACCAGTGGTGGATGAGGGTTCCGATTTCTCCACATCCTTGCCCACATGGACTGTCCACTTCCTCTTTAACTTGGACATTTCTCAGTATGTTCTCTGTCTAATTGCTGCTTACTTGTTTCTCTGCTAATGCTCTCGCTCCAGCAGCATCAGTCTCAGTCCCCACAGAATCTTTTGCTGGGAAACAGCCTCTCCTTTCCGCCTCGATTCCACACACAGCCCTACTCTTAAGAGTCTCACTTTGCTCATGGATGCCTTCCTCCTTTCAGTACCTTCCCAAGTTTAGGGTCAAAGTTAAAAAAAAAAGCGCCTGTATATTTTTTGTGTGTCAATTTCATACCAGTATTTTTTTCTGAAAGAAGTTAATTTTCTTTTCAATTCATTTTAGACTGTGAATCTCAGCTTAAACCCAAAGCATCTACTCCTGAGCGGGTTATTTTGGAGGAAAATTCACCACGTGACATGCACATGGTAAGATTCCTGGGGGGTTGGTCTTCGTTCCTCTCTTAGGAGAAGCTGAGGAACTCGTGAGTTGAGGTGCACCCAGCGCCAGGGGGATATGTGAGCTGGGGCGTTTCCTCAAGGACATTCCCACAGTCTGAAGGGACCATGCCTGACTCGTGAATTTGGCAAACCCCACCTGTCACTCAAGACTCTTTCTTCCTAGAAGATTCCCCCCAGTAAACGTTTCCATCCATGAGAGTCAGACGTGGATCGTGTGCAGTACGATTTACTCCTCAGCGGTTAGCAGAAACAGCCCGCCGGGGAGAGAAGCCCATGGAAGTTACAGGTGTGGGAAAGCCTTGTGGTGGAGCCTGCAGCCTCCTCAAAGAACTCCACCGTTCCAAAGCACAGCTCTGAACATGCTGGAAACGTGCCTCTGCCGAGGAGCATCCCTGGGCGAGGCCGGATGTTGGCGGCTTTTCGTCATCACTCGCCCCTTGCCAGGAGCAAACTCTGCCTGGAAAGAAGGCACCCGATGTTTTCACTGTGGTGGGAAAGGCTTCTGGGGGAATAATCTGGATCTGAACAAGAGAAGCACAGGAGAGAGGGCCACTCTGATTGTGAAGAACGTGGGAAAGTTGTCGGGGTTCCCCAGCCCTCAGGAGACAAGTGGAGACCCCACACGGGAAGAAGCCCTTTCCAAAGTGTGGGAAAGCCTTCAGAATCAGCGTCCAGTGCACGAGAGAGTGCACGTGAGCTTTGGCCCCGAGTTCCTGCCTCTCCAAATTGCAGGACTTGCCAAGGTTTGGGTTCCCATTCTTGGGCATTTGGAGGGTTAGGGTTAGGGTTTGGATAGAGGGACACACAGAGGCCAGCTTCACCCCTGGCTGGGCCTGTTTGTCCCAGAGCCAGTAAGATCTCTGAGTTCCCTGAGTCTGCGCCCTGCCACCTCTGCCATGGGTGGTGTCGGCTCAGAGCGTCAGAGCCGCTGGCCCAGTGGATGGGGTGGCATGGCCCGGGTTGTAGAGACCTCTGTTCATTTCCTTTGCCCTGAGCAAGGGGAGCCTCAACCCTGCGCAGCCTGGTGTGGGCCGCGGGGCAGCCGAGACCCTCACCGCAGCGTGGCCCACAGCAGACCCCAGGGCAGCTGAGACCCCTCCCCGCTGCCCAGGTCCTCCTTGTCCTCAGCTTACACTCTTTTTTTGGTAACGGGTGTTCTCCAGTTACTGCTTGGGGAGGGGTGCAAGGTTTTTGAGACCCTAGGATCTGAAAATATCTTATTGGAGCTGCTGGGTCGCAGGGGCCTCGTCTGACGTGATTGTTGCAGTTACCCCATCAGAGCCTTCTGTGCGTCGTCATAGAGCCCGCAACCAGTGCTTGTTGAATGAAGAAGTGAACAGATAGCGTGTGAAGGCGTCTCCAGGCCCCCACTGGAGCCGCAGGTGGACCATGTGAGGGAGGGAGGGAGGATGACCCACCAGGGACAGTGTCCTCTCTGGTTTCTGTGGGCTCTTTCCTCTCAGTACAAGGTTCTAGCACCTTCCACAGAACTCCACTCCCAGCTCAGTGGTGGCACCAAGTGTGGGAGAGGAGTGGCTTCTGCTGCATCCGAGCCCTAGGAGATGGGCGGTCACAGAGTGTTCTGAGCGGACAGAGGAGGTCCACTCTGGCCACATGTGTAGAGCAGTTGAGCAGTCCATCCCTGAAGACACACAGCCCATAAGTGTAGAGCTGGATTTGGAGCTGGGGTCGAATCCAGGCCGAACTCTGGAGGCCACTGTCAAAGCCTAGGTCTGAGGATCTGCTGCCTGAGTCACACAGCCCGCCACTTGGTTGATGGCGCTGACTCTTCAGCTAGCCCTTCTGGGCTGTGGCGGGCATCGCTGAGCCTTGTCTCCATCACTGGGGCCCATGGGGCAGCTCTGCGGCCTCCCTGTCCTGTGGCGATGAGTGCTGGTGGCCAGGGACAGGCCGAGGCCCCGTGGCCCCCGCTCCTGGCCAGCTACACCAGGGGAGGGGCAGGCACACAGAGCGGGGGGCTGCTCCTAGAAGAGCCAAAGGAGGCTGGGGAAGGGGGGTCTCCACGCTCAGCCTTGTCACCGTCCCAGGCCCCCCCCGTGCTGCCTCTCGCCGGCGCGACCTCTCCACCACGACACCCGCTCCTGGAGGCTGGGGTGTCGGCACTTTTGTCCTCTGCCGTCTCCACAGTGCTTACACTGCAGTGCTCACACTGCAGTGCTCGGTAAGTGTGTGCTGAACAAGTAGGCCGAACTCCTGAAAACCTCGTCTTCAGGAAGAGTGATCTGTGTCAAGGTTATTCTGATGAAAGCGTTTGTCTCAACATGGTACCCGTGGATTTTAATTTTACGGAGGTGGCTGAGTGACAACACGGAGAGGCCAGTGCCCCTCAAAGAAGATTTTTGTGACTTACATTTCTTGAGAGCAGAGGGCTCCACGCCACACAGGGCCCCACGGCGGCGGGGGGGCACCAGGGTTAGTCAGGAGGCAGACAGGAGTGAGGGGAGAGTCTAGGCCAGAGCCGTTATTGGGGTTTCTGCAGGAAAGGCAGGGCAGAGTACACAGCTTAGAGTTGGCGAGTGAGTAAGTCTGGGGGACCTTGGGGCGCAGGGGCTATCCCCAGTTGTCGGGTTCCCGGCCCGGGTGATTGTCTTAGTGTGTGAGCACCAGATGAAGGAGGTGGTTCAGAGTGCGGGCTCTGGACCACAGGAGAGATGTAAACAACTGTGGCCAGTAGTTGGCCCAGTGATTGACGGATGCCAAGCAGACAAATGCAGAATCTGAGAAAACACAGAACAACGTTCGTATTTTGAACCAAGGGCTCCCAGCCTTTCTGTACTAAAACGTTTTGCGGTGCCTCCGAGGGCTTGTGGCCTAACCTGCGGCCAGGGCCCCCTGAACCAGAAAGGGGTCAGGTCCGTCTCTGTGTGATCAGTCCTTGGAGAGCGTCATTGGTGGCTGGCGCCCACAGTGGAGTAGGGGAGCCACCGGGGAGTCACTGAAACTGCCAGACCTGTGTGCCCCACCTTCCGACGGCACTGCTACCCCAAAACCAAGGGTCTCTGTGGCTAAGAGCAGCCGCAGTGTCACCTCTGTCCTGCTCAGCACCCTCCACACCTTTTCCTAGGGGCCAGGGCTAGACCCGAGGATGCAGATCAGGCCTGAGATGGGAGAGAGGGGGACACCTTCGGTTCCAGAGGACCGGCCAGCTCTCTGGGAGTCGCCTTGGTCTTCTGGATACACAGTAAGCCTGGGAGGTGGTCTGCTGTGAGTGCCCCAGCCCAGCCAGGAAGGCCTGGGGTTCGGGATTTCTGTAACTGGGGAGGCAGAAGGGGCGGGAGGAATCTAGGGCCAAATGTTGGGAATTGGGAACCCACTGGAGGCCCAGGGTTAGCTCCAGGTAAGAACTGCTGAACAGGCCCTAGAGTTTCTGCCTTGAGTGCTGGTAACTCCAGGGTGGTGTCAGGGGAGAGCAGCCTGGGGGAGGGGCTAGCACCGGGGCCCTGCCTCTCCTGGTCCAGCCTTGCTTCCTCCACTCCTTCCACCCTCACTCCCACCCCGTCCATGAGCGGGAAACCTACAGGAATGAGCGGGTCCTATGATGCGAGGGCCGGGCGAAGAGCGTCCAGGCTGGTGAAGCCCACTTGGCTCAGGGCCCTGCGTTTCCCTACCGAGGTGGAGAGTATCTGAGGACGCTCTAAGGCGAGCTGTGAGCCCCGCCCTGAGGAGAAGGGGTCTTCTCCCACCCGCCCCTGCCCATCGCCTGCCCTGAGGCACCCGCCACATTTACTTCTCGTCTGCCACCAAGTCCTGCGAGCGTTTCCTCCAAAATATGACCTACCTCTGACTGCTCCTCCTGTCCCCGCTGCCACCACCCTGCCCAGAGCCACCGTTAGTTCTGGACCCTGGGAGCTGCTCCTGACTGGCTCCTGCTTCCACTGGACCCTGGACACGGAAGCCAGAGGCATCCTTTAGAAATGCAGGTCGGGTCAGACACCTTCCCCGAGGCAGCGGTCAGTCGAGGCGAGTTCAGGTCCTTTCTCCCCCCCAGGGCTTCCTTCCGGAATAACTTCCCAACCTGCCCTTGTTTGCACGGGTCCACCTCCGTGTCCTCGCTCTGCCCCTCGTCCGCTGGCCATCCTCTGCCCCTCTTGCTCCAGCATTTCCCCCTCTGCTGGAGGCTGCTCAGAGGCTGCTCCCCACCCGGCCCCTCTCCCCATCCCATCTTGCAGCTGCAGCTCTAGCAGAGGGCTGAACTGGGTATTGAAGAATTGGGTAAACCTGGATAAGGTCAACAGGGCGGGTGCCTTCTTTTCTCAGTGTGTTCCCCAAAGTAGGGCCGGGCCTGCCACTTCAGTTGGGGCGAACAGCTGTGAGCGGATCCCATCAACTGGGTGACTCTAACCTCTCCCTGTCACTGTCCAGGGGCTGAAGGCGGCTGTGCGGATTCAGAGGGTGGTCATGCCTGTACCTGCGCTGGGCCTCCCCGGCCTGTGGGTGGCCGGTGGTTCTGGTGAGTGAGCTCTGGGTAGACTGGTGGCCAGAGGGCCCCCAGGGCTGTGTTTCGTCTGTGAGCTGGCGTGTCCGCCGTCACCTCCTCCGCCTGCAGGCATTGCTCTGCCTGCCCGCAAGGAGAGGGTACAGACAGTCACCTCTCAGTGTATGTGTCCACGGGGAAGGCGCTTTCTGAGGATGGGGCGCTGGGTTCTTGGTTTTCTTCGGTCTTGGGTCTTTCTGTTAAGAAAGAGTAGGCCCCATTCAGCTGTGGCAAAGGCCAGACCTCTCCTTGGGTAGGTTAAGTTCTTCACTACACAATCATGTCGATGCTGAAAATTACAGTTGAATTGACTATAAATGACAGATGTTTTAACTGGACTTTTAAAAAATGAGGTTAAAGCCACATCTCCCAAGAAGTGGGGGAAAAAGTTAGTTCTGGAGGACAGATAACGTCTTAGCTTTAATTGCAAGGCTTTTGTTTCCTTCCATCTTCCCTTCTAGTAGGAGTAATAAACTCTTTTTCTTAACAGTATCATGCAGTCTTGCATTGGAATCTGTATTATATCTTTGACAAGAAGTAATTCTTAGATTTAAGTTATGTGTTGTTCGTCCACATATTTTTGGTAAGCGTCCTGGGCAAGGCTCTGCCTTGAAGTACTCTTGAAGTACTTGGAGTACTCCATGCTCTTGAAATACTTAGAGTACTCTATGCTCTTGAAATACTTTGGAGTACACTGTGCTCGTGAAGTACTCTCAAAGGGCTCTGTGGTTGTCCTCTTGTGGGCACTGGGAAACAATCGGACACAAAACCCTGACTCTCTCCCTGCTGAAGCTGACAGTCTGGCTGGGCGGGCAGATTTTTTTTTTTGTGTGTGAAGAAAATCAGCCCTGAGCTAACATCCATGCCAATCCTCCTCTTTTTTTGCTGAGGAAGACCGTCCCTGAGCTAACATCTATTGCCAATCCTCCTTTTGTTTTTTTTTCCCCTTTTTCCCCCCAAAGCCCCAGTAGACAGTTGTATGTCATAGCTGCACATCCTTCTAGTTGCTGTATGTGGGTCGCTGCCTCAGCACGGCCGGACAAGCGGTGCAGCAGTGTGCGCCTGGGATCCGAACCTGGGCCGCCAGTAGCGGAGCGCGCGCGCCTAACCGCTAAGCCCCGGGGCCCGCCCCCAGATTTTTAAAAATAAAGACCAGAATGCAATGGAAGCATATAAGATGACGACTTTGTCTTGGGGGGAGGGGCAGAGAGGAGTTCTGGGAAATTTAAGCTTAGACCAAGGTTTTTCAACCTCAGCACTGCTGATATTGGGGCCCGGTCATTCGCTGTGGGGGGCCGTCCTGTGCACTGCAGGCTGTTGAGCAGCATCTGTGGCCTCCAGCCACCAGAAGCCAGTAGCACCCCTCTGTATTAGTTAGCTTGGGTGCCATGGCAAAGTACCAAAACAAAAGTTTATCTTCTCACCCGGAAGTCCAAGATCAAGGTGTTGGCAGGGTTGGTTTCTTCTGAGGGCTGTGATCTGTCCCAGCTTTTCTCCTTGGCTTGTAGATGGCCGTCTTCTGAGTTTTCCCT